CTCAGTGGTGATGACCTTCTCGCGGCGCCCGTTCTCGAATGCCGCGCGCAGGTCATCACCACCAGGGGGCCGAGGTCGGCAATCTCAGCAAAGCGGTAAAAAACAAACACAAAAGTGTACATCGGGCGCGAGACGTTCGCAGACGCGTGGGCCAACACTGAAGGGGCCCTGGGACACATACACACAAATAAAAGAATTCCCAATATTTTCCCATTTTTTCTGGTTTTTTGTCTTCCCCACCACTTCCCATATTTTCCCATATTTTCTGAGGATCGACGATTAATTGTGTCTGTGTGTTTCTTTCCCTCCTGAAACACGCTGAGCCAACACGCAGCGTGTTAGCACGGACGTCTTGAACACTGCACGTGCTGGGTCTCACAGCGGGCGCATCAGGGCAGCCAAGTGGGCCATGGGGGAGCGCCACGGGCGGGTCCCTCACGTCTCCCTCTGAGAAAAGCGAGCTGAGGCACCGGAAACCCGAGATCGGCTCAGAATCGATCCCAAGATCTCTGGGTGCGGACGCAACGGTGTTCCGAGCTGCGTCAAGCGGTGGCGACGAGGGGCCCCCCGAAGACCAACTACCTGTGTCTCAAGCGGCCCTCCGTTGATCTTCATCGCCTTTTTCACTTCGGGGCTCGCCTCCCAGACAGGGGTCCGAGTAGATGGGGTCGGACGATCTTGCCGAATCGCCGATGCATCGGCGATGCATCGGCCGGCGATGCGCTGGCGCCGCGCGCCACATCGAGCCGCATCACCGATGCATCGGCGATGCGGCGCGATCCTTCGACACCATCTGCTCCGACCCCATCTGAACGACGATCCGAATCGGTTTTACGCGAGATGACGTATGGACCTTACTCAACGGCTTACGCGGGCCGCCGGCGCGGCGCGCCACATTGGAGACGACGGCACTCACGCGCGACCTTACGCTGGCAGCTTACGCGCGAATGTCGGCGCAGGCGACCCCGTTTTTGTGCGTCGCTCATCTGGGAGGCCTGCAGAGAATCGGGCCGGGCGAAAGGGGGGGATAGCAAAGGGGGGGGTCTGACAATCAGCTGACGTAGCTGATTTTCCCGGCGCCTCCCGGCGCCGGGAGGCGCCCATGTATCGAGGAATGGGCCCGGCGGCGGGGCCGAAACCAGCTGCATGCAGCAGATGTCGTACCCCCCCTTTCCCAATCCCCCCCATTTCGTCCCCCCCCTTTCGTCTGGCCCGATTTCTGTGCGTCGCTCCTCATGGGAGGCCTGGTAAGGAAGCGCCCCCCTCGCCGGACGACGATGCGCCGCCTCCGGGGCGTGCAGCGGCGCCCTGCCCGCCCGAGGGGGCAGCAGGGGCGGCCCGCCGGGGGCGGGCGGCGGCGCCCTGCCCGCCAGGGGGGGGGGGGCGCCGAGCACGGATGCGCGCCTGTGGGGACGAAACGCGACGGCGCTCCTCCTCCTCCTCCTCCTCCTCCCTCCCGCTCCTCCTCCTCCTCCCTCCTCCTCCTCCTCCTCCTCCTCCTCCTCCTCCTCCTCTTCCTCCTCCTCCTCACTCCTCCTCCTCCCTCCCTCCCTCCCTCCCTCCCTCCCTCCCTCCACCTCCTCCTCCTCCTCCTCTCCTCTCCTCCTCCTCCTCCTCCTCCTTCCTCCTCCTCCTCCTCCTCCTCCTCCTCCTCCTCCTCCTCCTCCTCCTCCTCCTCCTCCTCTCCTCCTCCTCCTCCTCCTCCTTCCTCCTCCTCCTCCCTCCTCCCTCCCTCCCTCCCCCCTCCCTCCCTCCCTCCCTCCCTCCCTCCCTCCCTCCCTCCCTCCCTCCCTCCCTCCCTCCCCTCCCTCCCTCCCTCCTCCCTCCCTCCTCCTCCTCCTCCTCCTCCTCCTCTCCTCCTCCTCCTCCTCCTCCTCCTCTCCTCCTCCTCCCTCCTCCTCCTCCTCCTCATCCTCCTCCTCCTCCTCCTCCTCCTCCTCCTCCTCCTCCTCCTCCTCCTCCTCCTCCCTGCTCCTCCTCCCTCCTCCTCCTCCTCCTCCTCCCTCCCTCCATCCCCCAGGGCCCCAGGGCGAGGATAAGTCGAGGAGGAAAGAACGGCAGAAGCACCGCGGATTTCTGGGATCTGCGCTGGACCCCCCTCCCTGGCGTGCGGAGCGCGCCAAGGGCGGCGCCGGAGGCACCGCCGGGGGGGCCCCAGAAATCCGCGCTGAGCGCCAAAAGTGTTTGTTTATGTTGTTTTTCCCCTTAGTGAAAACGGCCTGGGACCGAAACCGACGGACCTGGACCCGCAATAATGACGGCCGCGACGCCCTCTCGCGAGACGAAAACGGCCAATTCGCTAATCGATGTGTCAGGGCAGGAGGTCTGTCCACCCCCGATTCTTCGACCAGAATCAGGCGGAGGCAGCGGGCAGGGAGCAGCAGGCCAGGGAAGGAGGGCCCAACAGCTGGTCGGCCAGCGGCGAGGGCGAGCGCCAGCGCGGTCGAGAGCAGGCGGGCCGCGCCGGGCGAGGGCGCACCAGAGACACTCAGGAAAGAAGTGCTGGCGGCGCGCACAAGGAGACGAAGCCAGGACGAGGAGAAAATCTCGGTGGTTCAAAGATTGGGTCTTGAGGGATGGAGTCAGAAGGATTGGAAGGGATCCAAGGGTAGATTTACATCGTTTGAGGCACCTCGTCCTCAGGACCCCATCCCTCAAGACCCTATCTTTGAATCGCCGAAAACCGGGTGAGAATACATCGGAACTCTCTGAGATACGCCGGCTCGTCTGGAGGATGTCTCGGGCGCCGCGGCCTTCGCAGAGCGTTCTCAGAGAGTCCCAGAACGCTCTGAGAGCGTCCCTGAGCGCTCTGGAACGGACCTGTTCTCGTCCTGGCCCCGGCCGGCGAAACGGCGAGACGAGACGGGGCCTGGAAGGCCAGCGCGGGGGAGCCAGGGCTCGTCGTCGAGGTCGGCGTGCGGAGGCACTACGGAGGGGGAGGTGCTCCTGACCCGGCGTCGATCTCCGCGGGGTTTGCTCGCTCCGAGGGTCTGCCTTCGAGAGCAGACGAGCCACGCTCGTGGAAAAAGCACCCCGACCAGGCAGAGGCGTCCAGGTCCCCAAATCCCTTCTCGATCGTCCCCGGGTCCGGTCCTTCAGGGCGCCTTTTTTTGTTAACTGGGGGGGGGGGGGGTCCGGTTTCTTCGGGCGGTTTTCTGTGGATTGGAGCTTCGGGGGTCGGTCCGGTTCATCCAGGCGCCCCGTCGCAGAGGGGGGTCCAGAACGTCAGGTCGCATGTGGAGGAGGGGTGTACACCCTGCGAAATGCTTTAGAATTCATGGGTTAAGAAATTGATAGTCTCAGAACTTAAATAAAAACCCAGAATGCCCATTCAAATCTTAGGATTTACATCGAAACATGAAGAATAATCGAGACTCTGGCCGGAAACTTAGGTTTTCTTGAGCATCGCCCAAGGTGTATCAAAGGGGCCGGAAGAGATCAGGTCGCATTCGGAGGGGGGTCCAGCTGTTTTGGGGGTCGAGCAGGGCAGGGCTGCGCAGGAAAAAGGCCAACTGTGGGGGTGTGGGTGCTGTCTCCTGCCTTGGTTCGTGGGGCCAACTGTGGAGGGGCCCTGGGACACACACACACACACACACACACACACACACACACACACACACACACACACACACACACACACACACACACACACACACACACACATATATATATAAATACACACAAACACGCACACACACACGCACACACACACACGCACACACACACACACACATAAATACACACAAACCAAAGGATTCCCCATATATTCCCATATTTCTGGGTGTTTGTCTTCCCCCCCACTCCCCATGTTTTCCCATATGCTCTGGGGAATCGACCATTCATTGTGTCTGTGTGTTTTTTCCCTCCTGAACTGCTCCAACCAAGCGTCGAGTTCTGCTCATCCTACCCACCCGGCACTCTGTCCATCGCGGGCCTCAAGAATAGAGCAAGGAGCGAGACAAATCAAGCCCTAAAACGCATCACCGCCGGAAGGGAGGAGGAGGAGGAGGAGGAGGAGGAGGAGGAGGAGGAGGAGGAGGAGGAGGAGGGATGAGAAGAGGAGGAGGAGGAGGAGGAGGAGGAGGAGGAGGAGGAGGAGGAGGAGGAGTAGGAGTAGGAGGGGGAGAAAGAAAGAGGTGAGCAACTGGCGCCCTTCGGGAAAGCCCCGAGACTGGGCCTCCCGCGTGCGCCGAGCGCTCGATCGCGCTTGAGGGGCGGCGTCAGGGGTGGGGCCGAGCCCAGGAGGGGCAGCGTCGACCAGGAATCGGCGATGTAGCGCCGACAGGTCGGCAGTGTGCCCCCGATGCTGAATCCGAAGGTTCCCAGGGCCCGGGCGGGCGGTCGGCCCCCCCTGGGCGCTCCATGGGCGATGGGGCGTCGGAGCGTTGCCCCCTGAGCCTGACGGAGGAGGCGGAGGAGGGGGAGAATGAGAAAGGAGGAGGTGGAGGAGGAGGTGGAGGAGGAGGAAGAGGTAGAGGAGGAGGAGGAGGTGGGGGAGGAGGAGAAGCAAGAGGTGGAGGGGGAGGAGGCTGACGACGATGATGAAGACGCCGGTTGCGTGTTCTAGGGGGCAGTCCTTCAGCCACGCGATGCACACGTGTGATGGTTCTGCGTCGAACGGCCGTCGACTCGAGTACGAGGCGGCGGTTTCTACACATCGATCCACCACATGGGGAGCCAAAGTCATGGCCTCCCAGCGGGTGTGAATACATGGATACACTTTGGTCCCAGGGGGGCAAACTACATGTTTGCTCCCAAGGGTTGCGCTCGGCGTCGCAAGAAGGGCTAGAACGACAGTGCGTCCCAACGAGCGCCGAACAACTTCCGTTGTCGGCCGGCCCATGGGGTTTCCATCGGCTCGCACACATCATCACGTGGCCAACGCGTGCGAGTGTCCTCGACGAGGGGCTCCCTTGCGAGTTTCGTTGTCGAGGGCGTCGAGAACTGCAATCCTCAGCGGGAATATGTGCAAACCGGCTGGGATGCTGGCAGATCTCCGCCTAGCACCTCTGCCTGCGGGAGTCGCAGGAGTGGCCGAGCAGGGCAAGGCGAGTCCCAACGACAGTCGTGCAGACTAGGCAGGCGCCGCTCGCAACAGCGACACATCTCTGAAGGCTTCTCTCACCGTGCGTGATCCGGTGGTGCTGTGCGAGCTGCTTGCGCGTGTGGAAAGCCACGCCGCAAGCATCGCATCGAAAACTGCCCATGGTCCCCTAAGATCGATTCCTCAGACGGCGGTTCTGGAAAAGTCCCCGCCTCGGATTGAGTCGAACTCGAAAACTTCAGTCGAACTAGGTGTTCAGGCCCTCCTGGCCTGGGCCTGGAGCTCTATACACCAGTCCAGGGCCCAGGATGGACCTGGCCAGGACTGGTGGTGGTGGTGTATTGTTGGCGTCTCTCCGACACCAGATCAGACCGGGAAGGTCACTTACGGCAGGTTCGTGTCGTGCCGACCCCAGCGTTGGTTTTTGACACCGCAGGGATCGTTCAACCTTGAACGATCGGCCGCTGCCTGCTGCTGCTGCTGCTGCCGCTGCTGCCGCTGCTGCGCCGAGCTGTGCGCTCGGACCCCGGGGGCATCGCGGACCGGAGGTGCTCAAAGGCTCTCCTGAAAGCGTTTCGCCCACCCTCCTGGGGCCTCGGGAACCTCGGGAGGGTAAGAGCCAGGGTCGGCCAGAATCTTATAACTACACCTCCTGCGGATTCTCCCTGCAGACTCTCCTGCTTCCTCCTCCCCATCCTGCCGGTTCTCCTGCTCCTCCTTCTCCTCATCCTTCTCCTCCTCCTCCTCCTCCTCGTCCTCCTCGTCCTCCTCCTTGTCCACCTCCTCACGTATTATCCGTCCCTCCTCCTCGACCTCATCCTCACCTCCTCCTCTTCAGAATATGTATCATAATCCTGCGTGTCCTCATCCTCCACCTCCTCTCCTTTCCTCCTCCTCCTCCTACACCTCCTCCTCTTCCTCTCCTCTCGAATCCTCCCAATCGTCGTAGTTTTCGTCCTAATCCTCCCACTCGCCCTCCCACCCCCTCTCGATACCCCCGTACCCCGCTGCCTCCATACCCCCGCTCCATGATCCCCATTCCTTCTCATCCTTCTCGTCTTCCTCCTCATCCTCCTCCTGGACCTTCTCCTTGAATTTCCGCTTCCTGCCGATTGCGATCATACTGTCCCTACCCACCGTCAATCATGGCCAGCTTCCCTTCGTGTAATCGCTGTCATAGGCCTACTCATTCCGAATCCCACTCTCATCGGCAAATCCCCTTGTCGTCCTCGTTGACGTCCTCGTCCTCGTTGACGTCCTCGTCCTCGTTGACGTCCTCGTCCTCGTTGTCGTCCTCGTTGACGTCCTCGTCCTCCTGCTCCATCCTCTCATTTCCTCCCCGTTCGTGCTCCCGCCACCCTCTGACCCTGCTCCCTGCTCCTCCTCCTCATCCAACTACACCAACATCCTGTTCTCATCTTCCTCCTCCTCCTCCTCCTCCTCCTCCTCCTCCTCCTCCTCCGCATAGTCGCCATCATCAGCAGCAGTATCACAATCACCATCATCCGAATCCTCCTCCTCCTCGTCCGCATCGTCATCCTCATCCTCATCGTCCTGATCATCACTGTCATCATCAAAAATAATAATCAACATCGTAATCAGCATCATCACCAACAGCATCATCATCCCCATCATCATCAGCAGCAACATCATCATCATCAGCATCATCACCATTATTAGTATGGTGAACATGATTATTTGTATCATTATAGTCATGAGAAGTATCATCCGACTAGTCAGCATTTCTGGAACAGGTAGTTAGCACGAGTAGTTCCAGGAGTAGTTAGCACAGGCCCAAAGCTGTGCTATCTGCTGGCGCCCCGAATTTAGGCCTGAACAACTGCCCTTTCAGGATTTTCAGAATGGGTCCAGCCCAGCTGGTGCTAGCTACTCCTTGGGAAGCCTGTGCTAACTATTTGCTTGGGGGGGGCGGGGCTGACGACCGCCAAGTGCAGTTAGCACAGGCTGATTTCAATCAGCGCGGCTCTTCGAATCCTTGTTATCCTCCTCCTCCTCATTTCCTCCCCCACTCTCTCCTCCCCTCCTCTCCTCTCCTCTACTCTCCACTCCTCTCCTGGTGAAGGAGGAAGGTCCAGGATGACGACGACGACGACGACGACGACGACGACGACGACGACGACGACGACGAGCCACTGCCCAGGCCACCGAAGGCCACCGAGGGCCGCCGAGGGCCGCCAGAGCGCCGCCAGAAAGCAGCTGAGGGCCTCCGAAGGCGGCCGAAGTGCCGCTGGGGCTCTCTCTCTCTCTCTCTCTCTCTTTCTCTCTCTCACGCCCTCCCCCCTACCTCCCCCCCCCCATCCGCCCTCCCTCCCTACTCCCCGCGGCAGAGAAGGAGGGGGAGAGGGAGGAGGAGGAGGAGGAGGAACGCGCCCTCTTTCCCTTGGCGTGCTATCTACTCCATGCGCAGAGTGTCTCCCCCCGAAAGAGCCAGGGACACGCCAGATTCCTAGCTGTGCTATCTACTCCCCGCGCTGCGTTTCCATCCCCCCCCCCGAGAGAGCCAAAGAAACGCCAGATGTCACCCGTCACGTACAATATCGTATGAAACGCCCTCTTCATGGCAACAACGTGCGAAACAACTAACAAACGAAAGCGCCAGATGTCACCCGAAGCGTATAATGTCACATGAAACTCCCCCTTCACTGCAACAACGCGCAATCAAAATAGCAACAACTCGAGATATGATCGAAAAGTCCTGGAATCGTCTTCGCATTTGATGCGTGACATTTCGGATTGTAATTTCAAGAAGTGGCCCGTTATCGGCGTTTTGGCCGAAGCGACAGTTACCCGGTAAAATGTTGGGCGATGCCCTGCCTGGAGTCGGAGATAGCAGAGTCGGAGATAGCACAGGCAGTATAGCGTTCGTGCTAACTACTTGTTCCAGACTAGAATCATCGTCACTATCATCATCATCATCATCATCACCATCACCATCATCATCACCATCACCATCATCACCATCACCATCACCATCACCATCATTATCATCATCATCATCATCATCATCATCATCATCATCAACAGCATCATCACCATCATCATCATCAGCAGCATCAGCATCATCATCAGCATCATCAGCAGCAGCATCATCATCACCAGTATCATGATCGTTGTCATCTCCGTCGTCGTCGTCGATGTTATCCTCCTCCTCCTCCTCCTTCTCCTCCTCCTGCTCCTCCTCCTGCTCCTCCTCCTCATCCTCCTCTGACATGCTCATCAGTGTTACCCTATTTCCCCTCACTACCACTGCTGTCCTCCGCCTGCTCGCCCTCGGTCCTACCTCAACCCCCTCCTCCCCAGACCCCCCGACGTCATCCTTCTGATCATTTGACCACTTCCCCCGGAGCGGCCTTTTCATCCTCTGTCGTTTCCGACGGTCCTCAGGCCCCGGACGTAAGGCCTCCCATACTACGCTGGAACACAAAAACCTGCCCACCCCGGTTTTCTTCTAGGGCGCGAGGGGGGGCCGGGGCCCTGCCGCCGTACGCGAAGCGCACGGCCCCCTCTCGCGAGGCGCAAGCAACAGAGAGAGCCCGCGCCCGGGCTCCCGGCCTGGGCGCCGGCCTGAACGCCGAGAAGACCGGCCGGCCCGACGGGAGCGGCCGCTGCCTGAGAGCAGGGGCGCGGCTGGATCGGCGGGGGGGAGGGATGCGGGATTGATGGGGGAGGGAGGATGGACATATGCGGGAGGGAGGGGCGCGGCTGGATCGGCAAGGACGGTGCGGGAGGGGGGGAGGAGGCGGGAGGGATCTCCCGGGCCGCGGCGGAGGCATCAGCGGACCTCCTCGTCCTCGTCCTCCTCCTCCTCCTCGCTGAGGGGCTGGGGCTGAGGGGCGTGGGGACACTGTCTCAAGACGGGTCGTCTTTATCGCGGTCGGGGGAAGGGCGAAGAGAGGTCGCACGGGCGGCGAAGACCTCGTACCACGGGAAGGCTGGGGAAAACGGGGCTGGCGAATGGACAAGTGGGTGCAACTAGCGTGATAACGACGACGACGACGACGACGACGACGACGACGACGACGACGACGACGACGACGACGACGACTCTGACGATGATGATGTACTTTCGTATGGTGAAACATCCGACACGTTGCCGCTAGTAGCAGAGTGGGCGCATCCACGTTCAAACGGCAGAGGTGAAGTCCACCGTGCGGCTCAAAGACTGTGCGCCGTACGCAGAGCTGCACGCATCGGCTCCGCTAAGGCCTGGTATCGCTGTGGCTTGAAAACGAAGGGTGGCCGAACGGCCGGCGTACCACGAGAGGATAAGTATCTCATTAGTCGCGTGCAGGGTGAGGCGAGCTCGGGAGGTGCATTTGAAGCCCGGTTGAACTTGGGTGAGCCTGGGGGGAGGTACGGAGAGACGGCAGACCCTACACAAGGAGAAGGCGCGGCTGTATCGTGCAGCCTCTCTGCCTGGGGCAGGCTGCCGAACCCTACGGAGAATCGCGCTGTGGTGGAGGACGAGAGCGCAAGACCACACCCTTGCGAAACGCACAGCGTGAGCGAGCACTGCTTGCCGCCCCGCTGAAGTGCCGACCAAAAGCGCACAGGCACTGCCCTGGGACAAAGCAGCTGACGATCGACATGAAGAGGGAACTCGCAGTCAGGGCGAGGGTGACGCCCGTAAATGGTCTGGGAGTGACTCGAGGCATACGCCAAGTCGTCCGGTCGGCCAATGAGCTCCGTGCCTAGACGCCCCAGCTTCCCGATATGTGGGGCGCTGGAGCGTGTATACAGGATGCCTCCCAAAACGTGTCGGAGTAGATGGGGTCGGAGGATCGCGCCGCATCGCCGATGTATCGCCAATGCAGCGGCGATGCATCGGCGAGATCGGCGATGCATCGGCGCCGTCGGCATGGAGAAAATCAGGCTCCACGTCGAGCCACACAGCCAATGCACCGGCGATGCTGCGCGATCCTCTGACCCCATCTGCTCGGACCCCCTTCCGGGAGGCCTGGATGTACACCGACATCGCTCGCCGAACTCCTTGGCTCCTTGGCCGACCAAACGACGTGTTGAATGCATCAGGTCCCTCCGATGGTCACCGCTCACCGGGCCGTCCAGGGCGCCCCAGCAGCCGCCGGCCCGCGGCCAGAGGGCCCTTGGCCAGCTCGTCAGGGACGGCGGGCAAGAAGAGGAGGCACACCGCGATGGCAGCGCAGGCGGTCTTGAGGGCGGCGTCTCCAGCCAAGCTTCTGGACCAGCTGCGCATCCTGGCAGGGAAAGAGCATGGCACATGCAAAGGTCCGACACCTCGACCTTTGGTCAACACGGGTTTCCTGGAGGTCCCCAGCCTCTTTCCCCCAGAGGCCGAACACGGCGAAAACCTCCGTCCCGATTTCTATCAAAACGTTGGGACCTGGGCACAGGCATCCGCCAGTAAGCCTCGCGCAGCCCCCTTCGGGTCCAGATCCGGCAGGCCCGAGCTGGATCGCATCTCGACACCGCCTCGGATCGGGAACGGATCGGATCGCCAGCGAAACCTACAATATCGCGCCCAGCTCCGGCTGGCCTTGGCCGATGCCAGCGAACCGACTCCGATCGAATCGGAACCCGGGCCACGGTGAGCGGATCGAGTCGCATCGAATCGATCCGCAGCTGTCCCTATAGCTGTCCCCGCACGGAGACGGGGACGACCACTGCTGCTCGCACAGCGCTGGCCAGTATCGGATCGATCTCCGGGCAGGAGATGGCAGGAGATGCCAGGAAGAGAAAGCCCACATGCTCTCTGGGCGTAAGTGGCCTCGCCAGCTCGCTCTTCGACCTCCTCCTTCCTCTTAGGGAGAGGCTCCCTTCTCCCCCCTGTCCCCTCTCTCTGGGTCTGGACGGGCCCAATCGCGAGGGGTTAGAACGTATACGGAAGCGGCCAATGCTGCTCGATCGGGCATCACCCAATGGGAGGCACTACAGTCATGTCGGGCATGCCCTCCTACAGGCGGATCTTGGAAGAATAATGAAGAATAGTCAAGACATGCTCAACAATCATTCTTAAAACAACAATCGAACATCGTCCCCTGAGTATGGTTTCACAACTTTTGTATCTATTCCTCCTGTAGAAGGACATGCCCGACTTGTCACTAGAGGGGGGGGGAGGTGACGAAGGGTGCCAGCTCCTGCAGCCCTCGATCCCCCCCGCCCCTAATCACGAGACGCCCACGCGCGCACAGAACTGGCCAATACATTCGGCCCGTATCAAAAGGATGCGTGATGAGGATGCATGGGCCTTGGGCGCCCATTTCGAAGCTTTTCGAGCGCGGCCAGGTCAGCGACAGTGGCCAAGGATGGGCCGAAGGGAAGGGGCAAGGATGCAAGGGTATCCACGGGAAGGCTGCCCATCCTTACCATGCGGATGCGGGCTGACGGTAGGGAAGAAAACAAAGAAGGATGACAAGCAGAATGTGCCCCGAAAGCCAAGGACGGAGGCCTGTGGGTGCATGCTTTCCCTCGCCCAGCCTGAGGGCTACCTCGGCCGGCAGCTGCATCAGCAGCGACACCACCTCCGAGAGGAGGCGCAGAGGGGGGGCGGGGCAGCGGGAGCGGCCTTCACAGAGGGCGCCACAGGCATCCGACGTCTTGAACAAATCAATAACCAATTGTTTCGCATGGTTCGTTCTTCGCGGACCATCGCCAGGCGCCGAGGCCGTGAAATAAATACTCATATTGAACAAACACATGTCATCTGATCCCTGGGGACCTGGCGAGGGCTTCTCAGGACCCTAGGAGTTGCCAAAGGTGTTCCGTACCTCAGGTGTCCCTTGCTCTTCGCGCCACTCTGACCCGTTCTGAACCGAAGCCCTATAGCCCATCTGGGCCCGTGAGGTTTGCTCCAAGGGGCCACCTTGGATCAGGAACACAATTGGTCCAGGCGCACCTTTGGCCAGGGACACCTTTGGCAGCATCAGGAGAATGGAGGCCACCCAACTTGGGCTGGAGCAGGTGGACTCGGAGGAACGCACCGCATCGCCGATGCTGCGGCGATGCATCGGGGACGTGGGGATGGGACAAGTCGGGCGCCAGATCGTGCCGCATGCCCGATGCATCGGCGATGCGACCCCGGCCCCATGCAGGAGGCCTGGGTAGTTGCCGCTTGCACCTGCCTGGAGGTTTCCAGAAGGACTTTTCCTCTAGCAGTCAAGAGGACTTCGGAGGGGAGGGCCGACTCCTTGGAAGGCCACCCAAGTACATTCACCCCGTCTTTGTGAGGAGCCCCCCGACACAAACTCCACTCCGCACGGGTCCCCGAAGCTTCTCCCGTGGCCCGTGCTGGACAGTTCCTCGAGCCGCGTCGAGCCGTGGCGACGACGAGTCGACCTGCTGGCACGAGGGGGCCGGACACTGAGGGAAACGCGCCCTGGACCCCAGGGACTTCTCTGACCGATTTGTGTTCGCCCTGAATAGAGGGCAGAAAATCCACCCCAATAATAACCACCCCGACACGCGAAGCCGTTTAGTACACGCACCCAAAGGAATCCAACAGGGCAGGGCTGTTTAGGAAACGCCCAGGGCCGTTTAGTAAACGCCAGTTGTCCGGTCCGGGTGGTTTTTCCTCCCAAGGCTGAGCGCGTTTGCTTGGACGGCCCTGGGGCACCGGAGTGGCCTGGAGAGGCAGGGCGAAGACGTCACAAAGAACACGACACGCTTCCTTCATGACCTCTCTCCTCATGTTAAGTTGTCCCCATCCTACTTAAGGACCACATCCAAGAAATAATTTCGAGCACCTGGAAAAGTGTCAAAAGAGTGTCGAAACGGTGTCGAAACAGTGTCAGGCGAGTGTCTCCCAGGGCCCGACGCGTGAACACCCATGCGTTTCTGAACTGTGTTTGGGCGCTCGAAAGTCTTCCTGGCGAGCAACGCTACAATAGGCTGGAGCACCATAACGGCCCAGGGACTTCTCTGGGACCTGTCTGTGTTCGCCCTGAGTGCGTTTGCTTGGACGGCCCTGGGGCACCGGAGTGGCCTGGGAGGCAGGGCGAACACGTCAAAAAGAACACGACACGCTCCCCTCAGGACGTCTCCCCTCGTGGTAACCCAGGAAGGCAGCCCGGACCAGTTGCGAACAAGGCCGACGGCCTCCGAGTGGGGCTTGAACGAGTGCTCGCAGCGCTGCCAGCGCCCCCGCGGGTCGCCGCAGGCGGTGAGAATCTGGCAGATCGTGCTCTCGAGCAGGTGGCAACCGCCGAACACGGCGAGGTCGGAACGGTCGCAGGCAATGGTCTGCCCGAGGGGGAGGGGGGTGGACAAGGATGAGCAGAGGGGCTGTGGGAGGAGGCACGACGAAGGCGGAGGGTGGTGAGGAGGAGGGGGGGTGAGCGGAGTGGAGTGGGATCCATCACAAGCCGTGGCCCTGGCGATGGAAGCGAACTCATAGCACCCTCTCGATCGCCAGACCTGCGCCAACGGCCAGCCTGCAGGACCAGCTTTGACTGCCCTCGCATAGCTTGGAAGTCTTCCTTTTCGAATGCCGCCAAGCAACCCCACGTGCCCTGGATCGGCCTGAGAATCGTCATGACGTGCCTTCTGTTATTTGTGGCAGCCTGGCCTGTGCTGCCAACGATCCATCGACACTCCGCTGCGATAGGCTGCGACGCACGGCCCAGGAGACCACCCACAGCACAGATGCACTGTCGGAAAGTAGTGGAGGAGAGCGCCCCAACATTGCGAGCGGATGGCAGGGCGGAAGGGAGAGCGGAAGAAGACGGTGTGGGCGGACGAGAGGGGTGTAACAAACGGGGGGGCTAGCGAATGAGCTACATGCAGCTGCATTCTCAAGCGAAATACGGCGCCGTGAGCCAACCATGTATCGAGTAATATTCCTGGCGGCGGGAGCTGGCCTTACATGGATGATTCCATTGCCAGCACCATTCCTCCTTCCCAGATCCCCGACGTCATGATTGTTATGACGTCACCCCTTAACGTCTCGGTCCGTTCCCCCCCGCAACGGTTCTTCATCCCAAATAATTGTTTGACGGTCCTGAGGCCCAGTAGCGGCCCCAAAAAGCCGAACACAAATCATGAAAAGAACCTGCCGTCGTGACTGTTTCATGACTCGGGGATGTCTGGGTCTATCCGTCCAGAGAGGGGGGATGTGGAGGGAGCAACAGGGATGAGGAGGGATAGCGCGAGCCGACGGAGGCGGCGTTTCGCGCGCGCGCGCGGTGCCCGTGGGCTCCTTCACTGTCTCGAGTCCGTCGCAGCGCGGTCTCCACAGAAATCTGCAATTTGATCTAGGCCTGCTAGATTCGGGAGCCCACGAAGGACGTGCGCGCCCAATCGCGTACCTGAGTTTCACGCCCCCCCCCCATTCGGCGAGGCCAGCCACGTGTTACAAACGTTCGCGCACTGCGTACTTTCGAAACAGACGTGGGTTCATGAACGTGTACATCCCCCGTTCGCTCCTGATAATTGGGGACGGAGTAGATGGGATCCGATCGGCGACGTGGGCGGTGCATCGGCCACGCCAGCTCGGCGGAGCAAATCAGGCGCCACATCGGACCGTATCGGCGATGCATCGGCGGTGCGGCGCGATCCTCCGATCCCAACCCCATCGAATCGGACCCGATCTGGGAGGCCCAGAAATACGGGCCCCCCTCAGTCTCGGCGCTTTCCCCGAGGCCGTCTTTTCACCCCGAGCAATTCCTCTTGACGGTCCTGGCGCCCGGCGCGGGCACCCAGAAACCAACAACAACAACAACAACAACAACAACAACAACAACAACAACAACAACAAAACGCCCGTCGTGGTTTTTGTAGCGGTCGCTCAAAAAACCTCATGCCCCGAGCGTGCTCCGCCTCTTCCTCCCCCCGCGCCCGCGCCCTTCTTTCCTGCTGTGCCGCCCCGTGTTGCCCCTTGGCTGCCTCCGACCGCGGCGTGGATCCGCGCAGCAACCCAACAAGCCTGCTTTCGCGGCGCGGAAGCAACCGGAGCTGCGAGCTGCTCGCCCTGCCGCCGCGGCCGCCGGGCGGCGGCGGCGCCCAACGGGGGCGCACTGCAGCAGGAGTGGCTGGCTGGACATGGCTGGACCCACACGCGGCTCACGCGAGAGCTTCGCGCCGGGCACGCGCTGTTTGACGTCGCGGCCACGCGCGCAGCGGCGCGGCACAAAACAGGTCGACCAAGAGCGAGACGCGCGGTGGCCAGCCCAGGTCACGCGGCGCGGAGCACTCATCTGAGGCAATCGTGGCCCCGCGCGCAGCGACAAGGCGGAGACAGTCGAACAAGCTACACACGCACACACGCAGAATGCTTGGAAAGACAAAATAAACGGCCCCAGCATGCCCACCGGTCGGAAGAATTGGGCAGGACTATGAAGCAGCAAGGCGTTAGAAGTAGATTGGGCCTCCACCAGCTCACTGAAGACGAAGGAATGAATCATGAGGAACACCATTCGATCCCAATGCGCCAACATGATACTGAAACCAATCGGGAGCCGAACTCTATACACCAACACTTTTTCCGGCCCTGCGCTGAAACTCTCACAAGAGAGCGGATCCTGGTGTATATGGGGTCTTAGTGTATACATGTTTCGTTGCGTCCCCAGAAAAGCGGGGAACAAGCATACACTACACCACCCCGACGTCGTCCCCGACCCTCGGAAAATCCTGGGATTGAAAAAGAGAGCCCGCCACTGGTAGTGTAGATGTTCCAGCTTCCGAACCCGAGGGTCCCGAACAACCACTTCCGACAACCGAATAGTAAGCGTAAAGCGTCGGAGGTGCGCGCGGGTTGCTCGGGCAGGCGCCGAGCCCCCTCTGGCGGCGCATCTGGAGCCGCCCCTGGCACACTTCGCGCGACGGGGGGGGAGTCCCGGCGCCGATCCCGAAGATTCGCGAGGTGCTGCGAAAGCTGCCCAGACAGAGCTTGCACTCATCTTCGTGTGTGTTTTGTTATTCGGCAACGCCTCGGAGCCATCAGCGATCATGCTGCAGAGCGGACGCGGCCGCAAGAAGCACTCGCAGGAAACCAAGCCCTGAAGACCCGCGCGCGGTGTGCGACTGGGGTGCAACCCAGAGCACCCTGGACGCAGCAGGTTCTTCAACGGACGCGGGAGGTCGCAGCGCAGCGCCCGAAGCGAAAAATCCAAGCCGGTTACACGCATGAGTGACCCTGGGTATTTTTTTTCCCACTCGCGAGACTCCCGGGGCAGCAGGGCATGGCAGGACGCGCCCGCGAAAGCTCGTGGCACCGAATTAGGAGGAGGAGGAGGAGGAGGCGGAGGAAAACGCCAGCATAGCAGCGCTATGCAGGCTCCCGGGGCCCTACCCGCAGCCTACGCGAGCAAGGACCCTCGCCCGGAGCGCGGCCAGCCGCTCGGCAGCCGGCGGTGCCGACGACGGCCGCAGGGCAGCGGCCCGCGGGGGGGACCACACACAAGCGCGCAAGATGCTACTATCGCATCGCGTTCGGCGATGGTGGGGGCCTCGATGGGCCCGCACCAACAGGCCTTCGCGAATGGTCACTCACTCGCGCAGTCGAACTTAAGAATTCTTACTTCTGTGATAACGAACCGGGCCAGTGTGCCAATCTGGCGACTATGTCACTCACAATCGCCGCCCCGTCAACTTCTCGTTGCCGCCCGTCGTCTGGGCCGGTGCGCAGCTCTGGTGTCTATGTAGTCGCCGTCGCCGCCCCGTCCCCGCCTCGACGCAGCCCCTCGTATGGGCCGGTGCGCCGCCCTGGCAGCTACGTAGTCGCCGTCGCCGCCCCGTCGCCGCCTCGTCGCCGCCAGTCGTGTGGGACTTGTGGCGCATTGCGGTGTGCTGCTTGCACGACTTTGCAATTAGTGCACATAGATTGCACCACTCCAATTGAATCACAAAGACTGCACCACAGAGTCTGCACCACATCGATTGCCGAACACAGGCTGCACAACGTATTTTGTACAACATGCATTGCACAACCTACAAGAAACTGTACAACACATATTCCCAAAATTAGATTCCACATATAGATTGCACCACAACGATTGCACCCAATACGCTGAATCAAATGGATGGCACCATACATCTATGTGTATAGATTTATATGTTTACATTGCTCCAGATACGTTGCAACACATAGATTGTACCACGTAGATTGCGCCACGGGGATTGCTCAGCATAGATAGCGGTTCGTACGCCGCATAAAATATATTACACTACATCGATCGTATCATATATGTGTAAATGTTGTGTATATATATATGTATATACATGTATATATATATATATATATTGCATCACATGATTTTCTCCACATCGACTGTACTGCGCAGATTGCCCCACATAGGTCGCACAACATAGATTGCTAGAAACACCATGCCTGGGATCCACACTGGAAAACATTTCTGTTTATGCAATATGTGGTTCTTCCGATGCTGCCGTACGCGGCCAAACGCGAGCGGAGCGCTGGAAACACACGGGGGTGCGTGATCAGGGCCGCTTATACGGGGACTCTGCGCTGAAACAATGCATTGTGCACCCTACCCTGGCTTGCTGTGTGAGAAGGAGACCTAGAGGGCAAAGCACAAGCGCACCCCATAATTACGTCCCACTCGTTAGCTCGAAAGGTGAAAGGAACGACGTACGATCTGTCACAATGACCGCACGCCGTTAGACGTATCGATCTCGCCGGGCAAAGCCCCTGTGCCAGATACAGTAGATTCTGCGGTCGCGGGATGTCGTTGAAATAGTTTGCGTACTTTTGTAGTGTTGCAATTCTTACAACACTACAAAAGTACGCAAACTACGCCGAATGATACTAGGCGGAGGGGGAGGATGAGGAGGAGGAAGAGGGGACAGAAAACATTATACCGAATGAGTCCTTCAGCGGGTCGTGACTGACCACGAAGCCCGCAAAGACAGGTTGAGGCTGATAGAAAGCACGCATGGCGCATAAACACGTGAGAAATAGTGTGAGTACTAAAAATTGGAAGAGCGTGGTCGGCCACCCAGAAGCTGGCGAGATCTACGGGCCTCAACGCACAACTGCACTGACTCGGACGGGGCGGCGCCAATGCTCTGGCGCCCTAGCCTCGAACGTCTCGCCCGGCCGCCACGAGGATAAGAGGGGAGAGAAGGGGGGGAGGAGGAGGAGGAGGAGGAGGAGGAGGAGGAGGAGGAGGAGGAGGAGGAGGAGGAGGAGGAGGAGGGGGAGGGAAGAAGGGAAAGATAGAATACGTAAACGATATTCTCCTGCGACACCGCTCGCGCGCGGAGGGAGGGAGGAGGGAAGGGGGAAGGGAGGGAAGGGAAGAAAAGGGAGGAGGACCGCTCGCCGACACGGTCGCGACGTCAGCGTGGAGAACATCGAGTTCCACGTCGAGCTGCATCGCCCAGGCATCGGCGACGCGGCGTGATCCTTCGACGCATCCACTTCGGCCCCATCCGCAGGGAACCCACCAGAAGACGCACGCGCACAACCGCGAACACGAACACGGCCCGACAGCCCGCGAGACCAGCTTCGCGTCACGGACGCCCGCGCAAGGCATACTCTCGGAACCCACGAAGCTTCACGTACAGTCGACACGGACAGTGAGGATGCGCGATGAGGATGCGAGGGCCTTGGACGCCCATTTCGAAGCTTTTCGAGCAGCGAAAGCGGCCAAGGCTGGGCCGAGGAGGCAAGCATGCAAGGGTATCCTTACTGTGCGGGTTGACTGTGCACGGGCGCGGCTGCCTCCGCTCCCTCCTGAACCGTGATGGGCGGCCTCGGGGCCCGCCGTCGCCGACTGATCGCCGACGGGGGCCCGACGCCCCTCCCCTGCCCAGGAACGTGAGGATGCGCTACAGTCGGGCTGCTGAAATAAGGCACGCTAAATAAGGAACGAAGCCCCTCTGTGGCTTCGAAATAGCCTGGGCGCACGAGGGGGGCCAGAGGGACGACCACGGAAGGGCGCAAGGATAATCGAGCCCCTTCCGAATCCAAACTGTTCCTTATCTTAGCGTCTTGGCTGTATCGGGGGCACGTCGCCGATCCGTCGGCGATGTGCCACCGATTCCGAACCCATGTGCGCAGCAGGAGCGCGACCACAGGAAGCCTTCCACAGGAAACCCAGCCCCGAGACCCCAGGACGTCCGTTGGTTTCTGGTGTGGGAGCGTCACGCTGTCCATAGCAAAACCATCGAAACCTAATGAACCCGGGTCACCCTGGAGGCAAGCAGGGTGTTCCTTGGCATGGCTTTGAGTATACCCCACCGAGTCGACCCCCCTCCAACGATACCTCTCTGAGCAGAGGAAGTACAAAACGCCATACGTAAAATCGGTCGGACGCCCGCGCGGCTCTCTTGGATGCGCGCTGGGCTCCCTTCCCCGGCGCGCGGAGCGCGCCAGGGGCGGCGCCGCAGGCGCTGGCAGGGGGGGCCCGGTGCCGATCCCGGAAATCCGCGCGGAGCTCCGCGAGTTCACGCACATGCCGATGCTTCGGAAGGGGCCCTGGGACATACAAATAAATAAACACACAAATAGAAAGATCCCCCGTATTTTCTAATATTTTCTGGGTTTTTGTCTTGCCCCCCCCACTTCCCATATTTTCCCATGTTTTCCTGGGAGTGGACGATTAATTGTGTCTGTGTGCTTTTTCCCCTCCTGATCTTCTTCCACTGACAGAGGTGGAGACCCTGCGCGATGGCGCAGGCCGACCTGCACGAAGCCGGCGTGCGAGTCGAACCGCGAGATCCAGTCGCCCTCGACCACCACCGACACGCTGCGCCGGTGCGCGGCGTGCACCCCGCCGGCTGGCAGCGCGGTGCCGCTGGCGGAGGACCTCTCCCGGTGCTTCGTGAAGCTCTCCTCGGGCGGGTGGCAGTGGTGGGTGGCCTAAGGTGGAGGGTGCAGAAGAGGGCCCTAAAGGAACTATCTCGGCCCCTTTTGGGCCCCTGCTGGCTCCGAAAGGGGCCCTGGAGGGCTCCTTTGGGGCCCTTTGCTGCACCCCCCATTCAGGTCACTCCCCATTACCACCAAAGATGAAGCCAGGACGAGGATAGAATCGCGTAAGGGTGAATCGACATTCTCCAAAATCCAGCGGCTCTGGAGGACGTCTCTGGCGCCGCGGCCTTCTCACAACGACCCCGAACGCTCTGAGAGCGCTCCACAACGCTCTGGAACGGACTTATCCTCGTCCTGGCCCCGTCCGATCTCCATGAGCCCCGGCGGCGAGATCGCGACCACGCTTGCTCCTGGGAGGGGCCCGATGTGGCCAGACCCCCCGCGATCGCGGCGCAAGCGATCACGGCGGCAAGGTCCTCTTGCCATTGTCGACCCGTGGGCGCCCTTACCGGGCGCGAGGACCGTCAGAACACGAGCCGGGATGGAAGCCCGTCCCAGGAAAGGGGTCGAGACCTCCTGCAGGGGTCCTCGTTGTGACAAAAATCGCGACGTCGAGAGTCTGGGTGCACGTCGCGTCGGACGCCTGATCGGCCGAGGAGCTCGGTGCAACGTCGTCCCGGCTTCTCAAGATGTGAGGTGCCGGAGCGCCAGTGTACCAAGTGCCCTCGCCAGAGTGGATGGTGGCTCCGAGGCCGACCACGCGACGTGGTTTATATGCTCAGGAACTTGTGGATAGCGTGTCGCTGCGGCGGCCAAGACACGCAATGCCTTGCGAGCGGATGGCGTGTCGCTCCGCTCCGCGGAGCGGGAGGCTGAGAAAGGCTCAGGACGTGGAAGCCTGGGGGCTGGGCGGTAGATAGCGCGTCTCGCCGAAGCGGGGTGGGGCACAAACCGGCGGAGCGACTCGCTATCAAAAAGTTCCATGCTCACCGAGCCTAGGTGAACCCCTAATGACATAAGACATGAGCACAAAAACTCTGAGGTCCGCCAGGATTTCTCGAATCGGCGCTGGACCCCTCTTCCTGGCGCGCGGAGCGCGCCGGAGGCGCCGCCAGGGAGGGCCCGGCGCCGACCCGAGGAGCCCGCGCGGACCTCCGAGTTCTCCTGCTGATTGCTCCCTGGGCTCTATGAGCATACGTGGGGAACTTCTGGAGAGCGAGTCGCTGTCCAAAAAGCCCCGACGTGTGCTCATCGAGCGCCCCCCCGGCGCTCCCGTGAGCGCGGCGGCGACCTGCGCGATGCCGGCGCCGAGGCTGTGCCCCGTCACCGTCAGCTCGGTGGCGGGTTGCCGCTCCGGGGCGCCGGTCTCCCGCGCGGGGGCGCGGAGGTGCGTGGCGACGGGCTCCCACATCCAGGGGCCCGCCTCCAGCTCGAGGCCCTGCAGGAGGGGGGCAGAGCTACAGTCAAAGCGAGTACGGAGCAGGGGTGGCAAGGGCGCAAAAGATCCTCGGAAGCCGAAGCTGGGACTCTTTTATGGCGACGGGCGAGGCTCCCGCATCCAGGGGCCCGCCTCCAGCTCGAGGCCCTCTTCAGGACGGGCGAGGTTGCAGTCAACGCAGGGTCCGACGGCACTGGCTGGGCTGGTGGAAAGGAACGGGCACGAGACGCGATAGAAAGGAGGCTCTGTTTCAATGCCCGTCGCGGTCTGGCGGGGCCTCCTCCCTGGAGGATCAGGCGGTACTAGTAGGGCTGGTGGGGTACAGTCAAAACGTGTACTCTTAGGACGGGTGGTGGGGATGCAAGACCCTTTGAGGCCGAAATTTGGATTTTGGGGCGACCGCTGGCCTGTGGAAGCGGCAAAGCACGGGCCGCAGGGGCAAGGACACTGTAGAGCCTAAAGAAGGCGCGCGTCCTTACTATGCGCGTTGACTGTAGGGGTTCGGGGGGAACGGGGGGGGGGGGGGGAACACCGAGCTGGAATCCGCGACACATTGCCGGTAGATCGGCGAGCAGCCCCCGTGAGCGACTCCGCATGCTCCGGGGCAGGGGGTGGGAAACCAGGCCACTGTCGGCGATGGAGTGGGCGATCGGGGGTCGAGGCGTGCCCCCCCTGGAGCACGTCTCCCCTGATGCTTCCTGGTTCCAGCTTATCGGGCCACACCTCGGGTCTCTGGCGGCCGTTCGGGGCGATACGGGCAGCCCCAGATCGCCCCCAGCTGCTGGAAGGCATCCAGAGGCTGGGAGACGTCCGGGCACCGACGAGAACGCCCGAAAGCCTCGAACCTCGAAACTATTGGCGATTGGGGGTCGAAGCGTGCCCCTCCGAGCCGAATCCCCACTTAACGCTGCCCCTGACCTTCAGAAGGCCGTGCGTGGAGGAGACCCAGTTGTCCACCAGCGAGCCAGGCCACATGTGGATCGTGGGGAAGACGACGGACAGGATCCCCAGCACGACCGGCTCGGTCCACATCTTGATGTTCAAGGAAGAAAAAGACAACAGAAGCATACACTTTTGGATGACCGCGCGGAGTTCCTGGATTGGCGCTGGGGACCCCCTGGCAGCGCCTCTGGCGCGGCCCCTGGAGCGCTTCGCGCGCCAGGGAGGGGGGCCAAGCGCCGATCCAGGAGATCTGCGCAGACCTCCGAGAATTGATGCTCAGACAGCTTTTTGTTCCTGCAAATGTCCTCCACCACGTCCGAGATCTTGGTCGGATCCGTGCCGCGCACCGCGACCACGCGCTTGCCGAGCTCGGGCAGCCCGAACTCGAGCCACGGCATGCTCTGGCCCGCGAGCTCAGCGGAGTCGCTCCCGTTGACCACTCTCGCCACCGGGGCTTTCCCCGCGGGGAAGAAGTGGTCCATCACACCGGCAAGGCGAGGGTCATCTCGGTCCCAGTACGCGGCCAGCGACAGAAGCGCGTAGTCCAATGCTGGCAGGCCGCCGAACTCGTGCCCGCAGATGGCATACGTGGAGGGTGGCTGCGCCACTGTCGGGTCGGGCACCAGCGTCAGGTGAGAGCCGATGATGGACTTGTGGGCGATGTGCAGCGTTGCATTGCCAGGGCTGCCGCTGGCCTCGAACTCCATGTGGCCTGGGAAGAAGCCCAAGTACTTCTGGGCCGCCGACAGCAGCATCAGCGACGACAGGAGGCAGAACCACACCACCCAAATCAGGACCAGGCAGCCCGCACACCGGCGGGCGTACTTCTTCTCGACCTGCCGCGTGTCAAGCGAGTCGGTGTTCATCACCGCGCCCCCCGAGTCGGTGCGCACCATGGGGGCGCCCGGGGCGCTCCTGGGACTCCGCACGGCGTAGCGCACGGACTTCGCCCCGAAGAGCTTGATGACCTGCCGCATCACGTGCAGCGCTGCCAGCGCCGTCTGCACGCCCGGCCACACGGCCACCGCGGCCCCCGCCCCCGAAAACATAAACCACACCGCCCACCGCGGCCGCACGCGCTTCAGCGCCATGGCCGCGTAGGTCGCGCTCCAGGTCAAAACGACCATGGCGGGGTAGAGGGTACACAGCGCCACCAAGTCATTCTGAGCGAAGGTCCACCCGATGTCCGGGGAGAGCAGGGACCGCAGAAAGTAGGAGACGGCGGAGACCACGAACGTATACTGAAACCGCCAGCTGATCTGCTTGCCCATCTCTGGGGACACAGTAAAATCGCGCCGCCGCGCGCCGGCACCGGTCCCTCGCAGCAGCTGCGAATCGCTCTTGGAGCGGCCACCCATGCCGTGGCTCTCGCCTGTGGAGCCATGCAGTTGCATGCCGCAGCCATTATGAGTGGGCGCCCACGCGACTGCGGTCGATAGCCAGGCGCCCCACAGCAGGGCCAGCAGATTGTCGTAGGAGTGCCGCGAGACCCACGAGCCCTCGTTGCCGTTGAACACGTAGTCGGTGGGCCGCCAAGTGAAGTGCCACATACGCCAAACCGCCATAGGAACCAACACGGCCAGCGCCATTCTCCGCTTCGGTGCAGCCTCGACAAGTCCAAGCAGGCCCGTGGGGCTGAGGGTCTCGAACAGCTGACCCCACTGCAGCATCAAAATCACCAAGCTCGCGCGCAGCATGCGGTTGCCGTGCCCGTCGTGCGTGAAGAACTGGTCCGCAAGCCAGCCGCCCCCGCACGTGCCACCGGCTGCACTTGCGCACAAGGTCGGGGCAGCGGATGACGCCGCAAAGATCAGCATGATGACCAGGGGGGGAATCGTCATCGGGACGAGGTTCGGGAGGGAAGGGTGGCCCCCGTCCTTCAGCATCATCTTCCTGAACGTCGGGAAGTCGGTCACGCCCTCCCACGCGATTGTCCAGAGGCTGCCAGCACAAAGGAAGACCATCTCGAGGGATGCGAAGAGCACGTAGAGGCTGCCCACGATCGCGACGGGGGAGCCGCTGGTCGTGCCCGATAGGAGCCACTCCACCAGCCTCTGGCTCAGCACCTGCAGCAGCACCACGACGAACCCCCACAGCAGCCCCAGGGCCTGCATGAACACGTAGAAGAACGACAGGCGCACGATGCAGGGCGCGAGCGGCACGGACAGCGCCTTGTCCGCGATGTGGATAAACCACCAGCGGAACAGCGACGCGATCGCGGACAGCGCCGCGGGCGTGCGGTCGGCCTGTGCGCGGGCGCGAACTCCGCCAGCACCTGTTGGGCAGACGACAAGACACGGAGAAATCGCTACTCAGCCGCGCGCCTCCACCGGGCTCGGCACCTCAGAGACGGACGCCATGGTCGACGATGCTCCAGTCCCATGGTCGGCGATGCTCGTTCGCTGCTGCACCGTAGGAAATTTGGCCCGAAGGGCCCCCAGGGGGCGAAACGCGTGCAATGAAAAGGACAGGGGCTGCCTGCCCGCGGAATTAAGGCGGTCCAAGCCCGGTGCAACCAAACGCTGCCTAAGATTGGCGTGCATAAGGAATGCGACGCCGTAGAACATTACACCCCTCAAAGGATGAACTGGCTCAGGTACATTAAGTACAAGAGAGCAGAACTGCTCGCAGTATTAGCCACCACTAGGGGGGCGAAGCACCTAGCCTCTTTTCCTTTTCGCTTGAGACCCGATCCCAAAACAAGGGGCCATTGGGGGAGGACGCCCTGAACAGTGCAAACTCAGCCTGGAAGCCATGTTCTGTTCTCAGATCCCAATCCCTCGGGGCCCTTGGTCTTGACCTTGATCCGCTGGAGATAATAAGAAACTACGGACGAAAGACAACTCACGGCTGACTCAATCAGCTGAAGCCCCTACGCGGGTGCATGTTTAACTAACCATACACCCCCGATAATCACAAGGTGTGGATACCAAAGTCCGTGTCTCGGGGGGGATGAACAACATTTCGTCCCAGCAACGCGTATGCACGGTGATCTGCTAGTATGGTATAGCGATACCCTGGGGGGGGGAGCCTCTGGGGGGGAGGGAGGGGTTGGCATCCCTCCTGCGTGGCTGTGAACCCGAATCGTGACGGCGTAAGGGCCCCAGCAGGGTGGGAAGGCCCCTCCCCCTTGGGACCCCAGGGCGGCCCCGTCGCCGAACCACCAACGGGTGCGTCCTGACCGGGATCCCGAGGCGAGCTTGGCCGCGGCGACGAGGCCTGGCCCCAAAGGGAGGCCATCAAGGAGGCGAGAGCAAGGAGAAGACATCGCTACGCATTCGAACACGGACCCCCTGCTTCGGCCTGGGGCTGTTTCGGGGCCGTCGTGGGCGGTCTTTTGAGCTGGCGTCGCCACATGGGGAGGGCGACAAATGAGGGGGGGGGAGAACGGTGCACTTCTCGGGCCCTAAAAAGCCCCCTTCGGGCCCGAAAGGGCCCCTTGAAGGGATATCAAGTGTGCCGTTTCTGCAGCCCTCGCTGCCCCCCCATTGATCGCCCCCGCAGTACGCGAGGCCCAATGTGACAGTCTTCGGCGGTTTCTGGCGATCTTCCGCGCGAAAGCTGGAGGGCTGCGTTGAACAAGGGGTTCATGATCGAACACCTAAGCATCGGCATCGGTGCGTGCTTCCCCTCTGAGCGCCTCCTCTGAGCGCCCCGTCTGGGCGGTTCGCGTCATCGGCGCCGCCTCCTCGGACGCATCTGCCGACGCCGTCCTCTCTGAGCGCACCCTCTGGGCGCTTCTCATCGCCATCGGCGTCGCCTCCTCTGCCATATCTGCCAAGGCCGTCATCTCCTCTGAGCGCCTCCTCGGGGCGCTTCTCGTCGTCCCCGGCGTCGCCTTCTCGGCCGCATCTGCCGATGCCTCAGGCGTTGCTGAATGGCGCAGCGATCCATGGGGGGCGAGGCCGTGCGCCTCTCGCGCCCCTTGTGGGCCCCCCCAGGGGCCGTAGTGCACCAACGGTGCACTTTTCTTCATCCCCCACGCTGAGCTCGGGCCGGGCGAAAAGGGGGGATAGCAAAGGGCGGGTTTGAGACTCAGCTCACGCAGCTGATTCTCCCGGCGCCTCCCGTCGCCGCAGGCGGCCATGCATCGAGGAATGGGCCCCATCGGTGAGGCCGAAGCCAGCTGCATGAAGCAGATGTCGTACCCCCCCCTGTCCCAAAATCCCCCCCCCTTTCGTCCCCCCCGATGCGCGCCCCCTCCCCCGAGTAACGCGACGCCCCATTGCCCTCGGCTCCGCCGGCGGCTCCGCGCGCCGCCACCTCGCCGGCACCCGGGTCGCGCCCGCCCATCCGCGGGCGGCTCCCGAGGGAGGCCCTGGCCGCCCGCCCCTGCCCGCGGAGCACGGGCCGGGCCGCGGGGCTGGAGTCAGGATCGCTCGGGGCCGCGGCGGCAAGGGCGAGGTCAGAGGAGGCAGCTCCTGGGAGGTTTGCGTCGGAGAGATTTAAGGAGGATTGAGCCCCATGTGGGGGCTATTACGCCGGAGTGGGCCTCGGATTGAGCGGGATGAAGCCGGATTCAGCAACATTCAGCGGAATTCAGCGGGATCAAGCCGGATTAAGCCGGACTTCGGACCAGTGCACAATCAGAATTTGACTTCCCAGGAGTTGCATCCCAAGCGAGGTGCTGCTCACGAGGATGGGGAGGAGAGGTTGGGGTGGGCGGGGGCCCTACTCCCAGAGGGGGTCCGAACAGATGGTGTCGGAGGCTTGCACCGCATCGCCGACCTATCGCCGGTGCATCGTCGATGCATCGGCGATGGATGCATCGGCGATGTCTGCCGTGTATTGGCGACGCCGGCCTGGAGAAAATCGGGCTCCACATCGAGCCGCATCGCTGATGCATCGGCGATGCACTGGTGATGCGGCGCGACCCTCTGACCCCATCTACTCCTACCCCACCCTGGGAGGCCCAGATACCCGCTCAGCCGAGGGAGACACCGGGCTGGGAAATTGGATACAAACCGCCGACTTGTGGGCAGACAGGCCCCCGATAGTTAGCGAAACCGAGCTTTCCAGGGCGGGATGGGCTATCAGGCCCCTGGCGTCGATGCATGGGCGATGCTGCCTGCCACTACCACGGCGCACGG